GTGACTATGTTCAGCAAGGTCAGTAGTGGTTCTCACCTTTATCGCCACTTTTCTATTAAGAGCATCAGGGAACGCACCCCATTATCTTCACCCTATCCTGTCCTATAAAGCTCCTTTTTCTTCCTCTGAACTCAACGCAGCCTTACAGTCCTGCCGCAACACTCATGAAGGCCCTGACGTATTCACTACCGTATGCTCCGACACTTCCCATCTTCCTCTCTTTCATTCCTGTTAACAATTTTCAACCACATACGGACGTCAGGAAATTTTTTCTTCTCATTAGCGAGAATCTCTTATCCTTCCCTTCCTGAAACCCAATAAATCGGGTACACTTCCTCAAGATTACCGCCCCATCGCTCTAACTAGCTGCTTGTACAAACTATTAGAGGGAATGGTTAACTTCTGCTTAATGTGGTACCTTGAATCTTCTCTCTCCTTCCCAGTTTGGTTTCCACCGTGCCCCCCCCTTTTTTTTTTTTTTTTTTTTTTTTTTTTTTTTTTTTTTTTTTTTTAGATTTCCCAATTCTATGAGAGGGACAGGCTTGGCTTCTAGTAGCTACCCGTAAGTGGAGTTTTTATTTTCGTAAAGGGACATCCTATCTTGCAGAGAGGGGGTGTGTCTGTAGTCAAAGCAGTGGGCATTATGGTTACTCATATTGCATGAATCGGTGGTGTTGCGGTCATCTTGTACAGTGGCGGCACCGGTCGTATTCAGTGTTGGTGCCTTCTAAAGGAGAGGTGGTGTTACCTCGGGCGTAGCTGGCATCCCATCTTGCAGAGAGAGGACACGACTGGTTCCACGTCTCCCCTTAACCGAAGCATGCTGTCTATCCTCTTGTAACCGTGTCGGCACCGGTCATAGTAAAAGGGGTGGTGGTGCCTTCAAGAGGAGAGGTGGGTCCGCTCCGGCCGCCGGAAAAACAGTGGAAAAGAAGCATCCCATCTTGCAGTTAGGGAATGCGTCCGTGATCGAAGCAGTGGTTACCCACTTTGCGTAGAACGGTGGTGTTGCGGGAAGTGTCATCCCATCTTTGCAGAGGGGGCGCGACTAGATCCATGTCTCCCCTTAGCCAAAGCATGTTGTCTATCCTCTTGTAATAGTGGCGGCACCGGTCGTATTCAGTGGTGGTGCCTTCAAAAGGAGAGGTGGGGCTGCTTCAGCCACCGGGAAAACAGTGGAAAGGAAGCATCCCATCCTGCAGAGAGGGGATGTGTCTGGGTGACTCGTCTCACCGCGGTCGAAGCTTGCAGTCGTCATCCACTTGTAACCATGTCGGCACCGGTCGTATGCATGTGTTGCTGGTGCCTTCAAGGGGAGAGTTCTTGCTGCTTCGGCCGCCGGGAGAGGAGTGACCGTGCCCGAAATTCAGCTGCCCCCCCCCCCCCCCTGCTCATTTTGAGACATATCTGCATTTGCACGCCATGAATCCGTATTTGCCATTTTCTTTGATCTAAAAAAAGCATATGATACTACATGGCGGTACTATATTGTCCAAAAATTGTCCTCCCTTGGCATACGCAGAAATATGGGTGTCTTTTTAAAGTCTTTCCTCTCCAAACGCACTTTCCAGGTCAAAATTGCCTCTTCCACATTATCATTTCCTCAGTTCAAAGGCGTCCCATAAGGCAGCGTGCTCAGCACCACTTTATTCCTTCTTACCGTTAATGAAATCACTATATATTAATGTTTTAACCATCTTCGCCTCTGGCACATCCATACCAAATTTGCGCCTGTTCCTACAATCTGCAGTATCAGCAGTATCTTCTTGGGCTACTAACCATGGCTTCCGCTTTTTTACCTCCCAAATCTTTCTCATTCCTTTTCTCTCGCGCACGTGTAGGTCCCCAACCTCCACTCTTCTTATAAAACACTCTTCCGTATTGAGACTATGGTAAAAAAAAAAAAAAAAAAAAAAAAAAAAAAAAAAAAAAAAAAAAAAAAAAAAACTAGATTTATTGAAAATAAAACAACAGTTTGGAAATCCACCTGGATTCTATCTTCAGGTCTGAAGAGGAAAGACTAAGTCTGATATGCGAAGCTGAGGCTATGCCCATCAGGGGAGCCCCGTCTGTGTCGACTAATGCCGACTCGCTAACGTGTGTCAGCTGGTGCTGACTCTGCTGAGCTTAGTCCTTACCCACCCTGGTGCCCAGCTACTGCAGTAACCAGGCGACAATTGCAACTTCTCGCGCCTGGGCGGGGGCGCAAACCGCCGACCCTCGGATGAAAGGCGGACACGTTACCATTGTGCTAGCCTGGAGACTAGTGGTAGAAGGTACATCGTGCCCTGGATAACGCGACGTCGAGAACATGACAAGGCAGCCCAGTAGGGGTCACAGATGCGAAGGGCGCGGAGATGAACGAGGTGACAGCAGCGTGCCCTTCGCATATGTGACCCCCAGTACCTGGGTGGAGATCGTTCTAAAAACTAGGCTACCCTTGTCATTTTCTCGACGTCGCGTTATCCAGGGCACGACGTACCTTCTACCACGATTCCTC